TGTTGCCCAGGCTGGAGTGCAATGGCGCAATCTCGGCTCACCGCAACCTCCGCCTCCCGGGCTCAAGCAATTCTCCTGCCTCTGCCTCCTGTGTAGCTGGGATTACAGGCGTGCACCACCATGCCCAGCTAAGTTTTTTGTATTTTTAGTAGAGACAGGGTTTCTCCATGTTGACTAGGATGGTCTCAATCTCTTGACCTTGTGATCCACCTGCCTCAGCCTCCCAAAGTGCTGGGATTACTGGCATGAGCCATCGCGCCCAGCTAGTTTCCTTATCTCTTAAGGAGAGGGCTCCCTGGGAAAACTGTGCTCCCTATTGTCTTACAGAGCTTGTCCCCATCCTTAGTTGATATTAAGACTCTCTGCTATTGTCATATGGGCCTGATTTATTGACATTGGATGGGGGAAGAATGAAAGATGATGAGCTAAAAGTAACAACATGCTGAAATCTGTCAAGGAGAGAGGATGGGACTTTTGAAATAGGCACCACTCTGTTAGGGGCAGAGGTCACCCTTGCAGGCCGAGCTCTGCCCTGTTACGGTTGAGAGTGTCTTGGAGGTGGAAGGGGAAGAATCTGAGATGACCTGGAACATGCTGCAATTGGAGGAGCTGTTTGTTCTCCAAACGTATCTAGGCATAGCCCCTTGGAGCTGGTAAGATGGAGACATTTGTGGACTTAATTACCAGCTGACATCATGGCACTGATAAAATGTCCTATCTCATTCTGAAGCCCATACTGGTCCTGATTTTCTGATCTATTACCTTGCTATATACTGATGCAGTTTATACCCAAAGCTCTTAACATCAGAAAAGATGCTGAGAGGCCTGGTGACCCTGAGGAAGACCCTCCCTTATGTGTTCCCAGCACAGCCCTATTTGTTCCCAAGATTGGGCTTACCTCACTCTCCCCCTGAGCAGGAGGTGCTGCAGGAGCCCCCTCAGCAGCAGCCACTGAGGCCCAGCAGTTGGAGTGTGATTTATAGACGGGCATAGGGAACGGAGGGGTACGATGCCCACTGGTAGCAGTGCCGTCTCCCAAATCCGGCTCACTTCCCAGCTCCCACAGCACCGTGTCTCCTGGGAGGGGAGGCTCCAGGGTGGCTGGACTCTCAGGTCCCGTCCTCACACCTGCATGGCAGTCTGAGGCCCCCCAGGAAAAGCACTCCCCAGAAGCACTGTTTTCTGAGCAAGGACTCTCCAGGAAGAGGGGGTTGCTGAAGAACATGCTCTCCTCCTCAGCTTCCCACTGTGGGGAAGACTCTGGGATTCCCTCTCTCAGCCATGCCTGACCTTCCCCGTCAGGCTCACTGCTGTCTTCCCCGGAGTCCTCCTCCTCAGGTGGGCTGGAGTGCAGGCCCATGTCCCCGGGGAGGTCCACAGGGGGTGAGGGGAGACAGCATCTCAGCCCTGCCTTGAGCCCTTCAGTCTTCTCCAGCTCCTCCTCCAGGTCTAGGACACACATCTGGGCCTGTAGGATGCCTGCCCAGAACACCACCTGCGTGGACGTGCTCCGGTTCTGCTGTGGGCTCCCCAGTAGATGGCTGTTCCCAGGTGAGCCTGGTGATGCTGTGCTCTGCCTCTGCTCCCCCTGGGCAGAGCAGCTCCCCAGGTGTGTGAGCTCCACATCGGAGCCCCAGGGAGGAGCATCTTGTCTGGTAGATTCAGGAGGCTCAGTGGCCCAGGTTTGCTCCCCGCAAGGCTCTGGCAGGTCCTGATGGCCGCACGTTTCCCTTGGGCACTCTCTTGGGTGGGGCTGCAGGTTGTCTCCCAGGTAGAGGTTGAGAATTTCCATGGGCTGGGGGTGGTCAGAGAGTCCGTAGTCACCCATTATCCACAAACGCTGCGCAGGAGCCCCCAGGAGTATCTGCTTTCACAGTCTCACTGTGTGGACTAGGGGGAGTACTGGCCGCTGGGGTAACTGGGAATCCATGTCTACCCTGGGAATGTCCAGAGCAAGTGCAGGTTAGGGAAGGGCTGTCAGCCTTTGGAGGCACGTACCTAGTATGTTAGATGTGTTTGGAGTCTCCGCCCCATCTATGCCTGCTGCTAAGGGACAGTGCCCTCCACTCCCCTTCTGAGAGTAAGAGGTGTACCACATACTCCATCTGCCCCCACAATCTCTAAACTTGCACCAGGGCAGCCCCTGCCCCAAAGACACCCATCTGTTGGCTGAAGGTAGCCCATGTGGCTTAGCTGAAAAAAGCCAACTGGCCAAATCAGATCCTTCTCTTGGCATTTGGATTGGAGAGTGTGGAGACCGAGGTGACTGGCAACAGGAACAGAAGGTAGAAATGCCTCTAGGTATCAAGGAAGCAGCTGCAAGCCACAAAGGACATGTAAACCAAAGCATGTGGGAGCCACACAGACGCAGTCTGAGGCGAGGAGAATGGAACAGACTCACGGGAGAAGCAGGCACCCACGACAGTGAGGCCACAGCCTGCCCGACTTCCACTTTCCAAGATTCCTATCCTTGGGCCTACCCTGTTCACGAAGCTGGCTCACAGGATGCTTCCTGGTCCTTGTAAGCTGTTGACAGCTTGGAATTTGGCCCAGGTGGAAGCAGTAAGGGGCTCTGTGCTCAACTCAGCCCAAGCCCTCATAAAGGGAGGATGCTTCAGCCCTGCTGCTCACCACCCAGCAGACCACCTGCTGCATGGGGAGCAGATCTCTGCCTTCTAGGGAGGAAGAGGCTAGGATGCGGTGGCTGTGTCTGCCTGGAGCTGCCGCAAATCTGCCCAGAGCTGCCCTGTGCACAGGCCACACTAACACTCTGGGTGGGCCCTTATCAGATGAGCCCAGGAAGCTCCCAGGGTGTTTTCTAGAAGTATGCATCTCTATCCCCTGCATGCAGCCCACAGCTTACAAGGCTCTCAGAGCAGCCCCGCTTCCTCAGTATAGCTGGCTTGTTTAGATCCGGAGCACACTGTGAAGCTTGTAACTGGTTTGTCTCATGGTTCTGGCTCTCCACAAAGTGGAAGTGCAGGGTCAAGTACGCAGGCCCTTATGGCATGTTGTAAGCACTCCCCTGGCTTCAGCTGTCTTTTTTTTTTTCCCTGAGACAGAGTCTTGCTCTGTCAACCAGGCTGGAGTGCAGCAGCGAAATCTTGGCTTACTACAGCCTCTGCCTCCTGGGTTCAAGCAGTTCTCCTGCCTCAGCCTCCTGAGTAGCTGGGACTACAGGAGTCCACCACCATGCCTGGCTAATTTTTTTTTTTTTTTTTTTTTTTTTTT